TAAGAAATTACAAAGCAAGAGCAGCTTCAAAGCAAACATATAGCATACAATCACTATAGTCTGTAAGGTCAGACGGGTGAAGTACCAATTCAAACCCATAACATAAATGATACATGAAGTCAATTTGGCATGAAATTATGGGAGTGCTTGCAAAAACTTAAAAAAGTGTTTTTCAACTTTTGACTTAAAAACGTTGAAATTGGTGTTTTCAAGTGACAGCTTCTGCTTAAATCAAGCACTCATAAACCAAAGCTGGATGCCATTGGAAGGGTGCTTTAAATTGATTTTCACCTTTTCTATTACACAAAAAAACACTTTTTTAATAAAAACTGCCAACTTTTACGTTTTCAAAAGAACTTTTTTCTCAAACACTACTATCTTTTACTATTAAGCACTTTCTCTAAAATCACTTTAAAAAATAACCTTTTTAAGGTACAAGCAATCACAAATCGTACATTTCCCAAGTCAAGAACCACGTGAACAAGAAAATTACCAAATAGAGAAAACCTACTCTTCACATTGAGGATATGTTTGAGTCTTGGGAAAATGTTAGGGGAAGAAACAGCATGTTAAGAACCGTTAAGTTCTTGAGATTGGTTTTACTTGGAAAATGAAAAGGAAAAAAGGAAACAAGTTTGATAAAAAAATGAGTTTTGGACAAATGTAAAAAAACAAATATATTGACTTCGAACCATTGCTTTACATTCCTGTATGTTTTCTTTTCTTCTAAATTCCCCCTATATTTTGCTTCCTATTTTATTTCCCAAACATTTTCTAAGTTCCAAATGAACCTTTTGCATTAAGCGATTAAATAATAAAAATTAGCATGTGTTTGGATAAACACCCTCTTAGTGCAAACAAATTCAGACAAAACTTCAAGAGTAAATTTTAAAATGTGCCTAGCTAAATACAGATAAGGGCTTGACCTCTTTATCCATGTCGATAGTCCTGAATTTGTCCCACTCCCCAACATTTGTCAAGCAAAATGGTGAGAGTGGCACGTCATCACCTTTCAAACAAAAATTCATACAATTAAGTAATATCAAAACAGAAATTTCAAATGTGAACAAAGAGCAATAAACCAAATGGTGTAAGGATATAGTTCACCCCATGGTGGTGGAGCAAATAAGCTTCTAATATCATTTGCACTCAACCGTGGAACCAACTCCATTAGCAAGCGATCATTCAACCATCTGCGAGATCTTCGGTTGCTGACCTGAGAAGAAACTGAAGAATGAATGATTTATTGTCTATGAATTAACCTTTTATCTCACAAGTCAAATGTGAGCAGTAGCAGGGTTGTCAATCCTGGATAGTGGAGCATAGTGGTCTATCTCGAAAAAACTTACAATGACGTTAATAATTAAAATATCCAGAGTCTAAACATTAAAATAAAAAACAAGTTTCGGGATAAGTCTTGATACATTAACCTCATAGAAGAGCAGAAGTCCAACTAGAAAATACTAATGGTAGAAGTCCAACTAGACAACACTAATGATAGTCTTGATACATTAACCTCATTATTTTTTGGCTTGAGATTATGATGGAATAAAGCAAAATGGCTCACTAAACTGTCTGCGTTTCTTTGTTATGAAGCAGCAGTCAATTCATGCAATTTTGGACGTGATTTTCACAGTGGGTCATCTGGAAACAGTCTCTCTGTGCTTTAGTACAGGGGTAAGACTGCGTACGTCCGACCCCCCTTACCCCACCGTAGGTGGGAGCCTTTGCGGCACTGGGGTAAATGAAAATGAAAATGAATGAATGGTAGAAGTCCAAAATTTCTAATGCTTAGAAAACACTAAGCAGAGAAAAGAAGCCCGGCAGAGAGTGGTCATTCTTGTTGAAGTGAAGCAGAGAAGCAGAGACTGGTCATCAAAAATGTTGTGAGTCTCAACACAATGCATAGAAGATGCAGAGAGGAAACGAGATTATTTTGGAGGGCGGGATGGGTTTTACGTACTTATAAGGGTTTTAATGTGGTTGACATTTATAATAAAAACCCTTATCCCTTTAGTACCTCTGAAAAACCATAATTATTCCAGGATATCCTAACTGATGCGCATAAAATTTGAGAACAGAGTAATGTCCCTGGGGTGTCCGCAACAACAGCGACATGCCCTCTGCCCCTCTGTAGCGGTCGCTATTCCAGTTACACCCAAATGCTCCGCTACATAGGATCTTGTGGCACTCAGCTACTTCTCTGCTCCGCTACGTAGGGATCTTGTAGCACCCAGCTACTGCTGTGCTCCTCGACGTTGCTATACCAGTATACCACACTTTTTACTTCACAGAGCAGTAGTAGACTGAAGACTCATAAAAACATGCTAAATTTCCAAAATAATGTACAGGTAAACACCGTTAATATTTTCTAGAGTTTCATTTGTTCATGAGTTGAGTAATGCATTCACAACAAGAGGATCAATGTTTCATTTGGGAATATCGTGTCATGTGCACCTTGAACCCCCCAATGCTATATAAACCGATATTTCGTATACTAAAACACAAATAATTAGTCACTTTAATACGCCTAGATTGATGCTAGCCGGGTCCAGACCAATGAATGTCCAGGTTCTTTATTTGGGTGATTCTGAGCAAGTCACAACAACATCCAAGCTTTAGTCCCAAAAGATTTTGAAGTCTGATTTGGACGCTTCTGAGCAAGTGGTGAATTAAAATTTAGAGCCTCCATAAAAGTTTATCCTTCCTGAATTAATTAACCAAATAGATTCACAACTTTCCTAAACAAGTGCCTATATTCAGGTATTTCAGGCAAGTAGTCCATCTCTTCACAATAATATCTCTTAGTAAGTAGAAGATTTAAGAAGTACTTAAAGTACATTTGGTGCTAGGCTCTCAAGGCACTCGATCCTCTTCTCAACGGACATGCCTGGAAACTTCACACTTTCCCCTGCATTTAATCCTCAGAGAAAAGTTAGTTATTCCTGAAAACTAAGAACATGACAATCTTTTAAAGAAAAATAAACCGAATTACACTCCCTGCAGAAGCAACCGGTCCAAACTAAAAACATAAAAAAAAGGTTTGTATACAATCCATACTGAAAGACAAAAATGGAAGGATTGAATATGGTGCTCTGGAGCAGAGCAAAAATGTTGTAATGGCAAAAGATTTTGGTATTTTACCCTTGGGGTTATCAAAGCGGGACCACATCATTAGAATATCTTCTTCTCTCTTTAAAACCTCCGAACTCGCCATTATTTTTCAGCTGCTAAACTTTTACCTGAAGTCTGGTTAGATAGAAACAGATGAAAAGAAGAGGTGGAAAAGGTATATACCGGAGGTCCGGAACAACAGAAAACTACAGAAGAGAACGGCGACGTTAGATGAAATTGGGAGACTAGGGTTCTTTCAGGTGTAGTCAGTCAGATTTACATTTTTTACTACTTCCTTTGTTCCAAAATAAAAGACACATATTCTTTTTTGGGCTATCCAATATAAAACGTACATTTCCTTTTGGGGATTCTGAGCCCGTTTGGAGACCTCTGTTTTCGGCTTATCAGGCTTATCAGCCAGCTTTTTCACCAAACACGTAACTTTTACTTTCGCGCGCTGAATTGTGTAATAAGCCGAAAAAGTAAGGTTGGAGTTACTTTTCTGGCTGTATTGGCTGAAGTTACTGTAGATGACCATTTTAGCTATTTTTACATATAATTTTTTCTTTATTTTATTAATAAAATACATTTTTAAAATATTTTTTTCTTAAATCAGCAGAATCAGCCAAAACAGCCACTTCAGCCAAAATATCATAAATTTCAGCAGAATCAGCCAAAACAGCCAATTTTGGTGCTACCAAACGGGCTCTCTATATACAGCCACAAAATTGCTATTTGCAGTCATCTAATTAAATATAAATAAATAAAATTATTTCATGGTCTAATTTACCCTTATGTAAATATATCACAACCCATCACTGCTTTAATTCATCCAAGTAGGTCTTTGTCTTAATCATCGATCGCACAATACACCCGCTGCCATCAACCATTCTCGCACCTCCCCTCATTCAAATTTGCCTTCTCGAAGAATTGGAGTAGAACTGTCAAGTTGTTTCTTCTGACCTGCTTCAAATTGTTGTTTCTAGCATTTGAATATGTGTTGCAATCAACACGGTTTATCAGTAGTCATCACCTCTCACTAATTGCAGTAATCATGGAAAGTGTAAGATTCTAATTCCCTTCATGTTTATAAGTAATGATAAAAACATGCAGTGATTCAGAGTGTCCAAATACACCTTTTTTCATGATTCTAGAATAAAAACCTGCAGTAATCATGTTGAAATATTGGTATTATAGGGGATCATGATTCTATTTCCATTTATTATGAGTGTTTAATTTGCAATTTTTGTTGATACTAGAAATAACTATTCTATCCACTAAATTTCATAGTTATAAATTGTAATTTTTGTTGGGTCATATTAAATGGTGTTCATCATCTCTATTGTAATGGTCAAGCCATTAACAAATATCTCAGCTTATTACTTCTCATGTCATGACTCATACCTTTGTCTATCCATTTTAGCAGATGACATGAGCAGTGCAGAACAACAAGATGTCAAGTCACAGGTATATCTTATTAATAGTGAAAAATCAACTTATTTTACCATATTTCTTAATTGCTTCTTCCCATGACAGGATTTAAATTATGCAAATGACTTGGATTTGTGGAGTTCCGTTGCTGCTTTTTCTACGGATAAAGTAAGTAAATCATCATGTAATATATATGGTATATGGTTCAAAATATGTATATATATCATATAATTGAAGTAATTTACATTGCAGGTATTTAACAGTAAATATGAATTAATTACATGGGCCAGAGAAACTGGGAAGAACACAGGTTATGTAATTGTGATTGTTTCTTCTTCATCGGGAGATGATGGGAAAAACGCGAGACTACGACTTGGCTGTGAACGTGGTGGGACTTACAGAACTCCTAAGAAACTAATTAACAAAGAGGCACGACGTCGCAAGGGGACAGGAACAAAAAAATGGGTGTCCATTTAAGTTACAGGGCGTGAAATTAGAAACGGATGATGATTGGGAAGTAAAAATTCAGTGTGGATATCATAATCATCCACCTGCAGAAAACCTTGAGGGTCACGCTTTTACCGGGAGATTAAGTAAAGAGGAGAACACCATACTCTTAGATATGACGAAAAATATGGTCAAACCAAGAAACATACTAGTGACTATAAAAGCGAAGGACAAAAAGAACACAACTACAATGAAGACGATATATAATGCTCGTCACAAACATAAAATGCTTGAGAAAGCTGGAAGATCACAAATGCAGCAACTTATGAAAAGATTGGGTGATTTTGGGTATGTGGAATGGCATAGGAGAAACGAGTCAACTGACTGTGTAAGAGACTTGTTTTGGGCGCACCCGTTTTCTATAGATATTTTGAATGCCTTTCCGTTGGTTTTACTTATGGATTGTACTTACAAAACAAATCGATATGGTCTTCCGCTATTAGAGATTGTAGGTGTGACATGCACAGACCTTACTTTTTCAGTAGCTTTCGTCTACATGGAAGCTGAGCGTGAAGATAACTACACATGGGCAATGGAAAAATTAAAAACATTGATGATATCAAGTACCATGCCTAGTGTAATTGTGACCGACAGAGACTTGGCGTTTATGAAATCTATTAAGAAAGTCTTTCCTGAAACAACAAATCTTTTATGTAGGTTTCATATCTCAAAAAATGTCCTTGCCCATTCAAGAAAGTTGTTTGAACTCAAAGAGGATTCTCATAAATTCATGGCAGCCTGGAGTGTTCTTGTATTCTCTGCAAATGAGAGTGAGTATGCTAGAAACTTATTTGCTATTGAAAGTGACTACGAAGGTTATCCAAGTCTTCTCAAGTATGTGAGGGATACATGGTTACTTCCATATAAAGAGAGATTTGTAGCAGCTTGTGTCACGCCCCGGACCTCCCCGGACACGTCAACAACCCGCCGTACAATATGAATAGTCAACCGCAGTCCAACACGTTCATATTATACAAGGCGTCTAGAATATCACTCACACGCAAGCCATCCATAAACAACATAATAAGCAATCGAATACGTAGCGGAAAACATAGTTTGAAAACAAATGCCACACGTGGCTAACATGAGCACGCAGGCTCTATAGTAAAATATTCATGAGCATGTTTGTTAATGTTTAAAAACCGAATGGAGGAAGCACGAACCAAGTCTTCCCTCCTAGATGATCTCTCGAGCAACGAGCACAGGAAGCAAGCTCTAGCCTCAACCTGAAAAATGGTGGTGGGACGCCCCCGAAGGGGTCAGCACTCTATAGGGCTATAAAGTGCTAGTGTGGATGGCATCTAATAGATATACAACAAGTATTTCAAACACAAGACCCTCAAATAGGGTGATAATATAATCTAGGCCGTAATCCCAAGTTACCCCGTTTTTAAAATATACTTACTTTATATATAAAGTCAAGTAGTCGGCCCGTAGGCCCAAGGTTTGTTTATCAAACATAGCCCAAACCCCGTGACCCCTAGTCACAACAATATATAGGGTCCAACCCTAACACATATATTTGCATTCTCGAGTCCAACTCGACTACATCACCATGCACCTTAGTTAACCCGAGTTAACTACTCCCATCGTGTCTGCCTTAGGCACGATCGTGCCTGGGCTGGGGAAATTCCTGGGCAGCTACTGACTTGGAGGCACGATCGTGTCTGCCTTAGGCACGATCGTGCCTGGGTTCCAGCCGCCTGAAGTTGCTCGAAATCCCCCGGTTTGACCCCAAAACCTTGTGCAATGATCCTAGCGATTAGTAACCTCAATTTATGGACTAATTAAGGATAAAACACTAGCATACGAGAGGCAATACCTGCAACGGAATCCGGGTTAGCTTGAGCATCCGCCTCCGTCATCGCGTAGACCCTAGCTTGAGTCCTTCCTTGATTCACGGACGGCGCATTGCTTGCGCTTGCTCCCCCTTGCCCCCTGGACGCTTGTGAAGTCCCGGCTTGATTCCGTGTCCCGGTATTACCACTACTTGGTCCCGATGACCTTTCCCCACCCAATTGTGGGCAATTCATCTTCAAGTGCCCGGTGTTTCCGCATTGATAGCATCTAGGAGGGTCACGACATTTCCCCAGGTGGTTCCTCTTGCAATTCTTGCAACGAGTCCCCCCCGAGGCTTGTGATTGCCCGCCCGGGCCTTGACTTCCCCTAGATGGCAGTGGGGGTGTCCGAAAGGATCCTCCTCCCCCATGGTTCCCCTTTTTGCTAGGACCTTGAGGTCCATGGTTCTCCCACTTTCTCTTCTTCGCCTCTTCGGCGTTTTTCAACTTTCTCTCTTCCCATTCCTTCTCTCCTTTCAACCCTTGCTCGACCACTTGGCTAAAGGTCATGTTAGGCAACTGTGTTGCCCTCTCACGCACCTCCAGGTCTAAGGCAACCCAGAAGTGATTTACCATCCGGTTCTCTTCACAGACATACTCCGGTATGAACTCCGCGAGCTCCCTGAATTTATGTTCAAGTTGCCTCACCGTCATCTTGCCACCTTGGGTCAGGAGGGTATACTCTCTCCTTTTAGCGTTCACCTCAAAATTAGAATAATACTGGGCAAAGAACTCCTGTCGGAAATTCTCCCAAGTCACGGTATTGCCATACTTTCCCTTGGCTCCATCCCACCATGTGGATGCCATCCCTTCAAGCAATCTCACCGCCACCCTTAGTTTAAATTCGGGGGTGAGTTGCATATCAAGGGCTGCCTCGTTCAACCTCTTGATCCATTCCGCGGCGACCGAGATGTCGCCTGCTCCGTTGAAGGGTTTGCACCCCAAGTCCCTAGCCTCTTTAAGAAATTTTGAGATCCTTATGATTGGACCTCCATCACCCCGGCCCCCATGTGGTTCAATGTGGGCCCGAGAATCGCCATGGCTTCTTCCTCTTGAAGCCTCACCCGAAATTCGCCCTCCCCGGCGCCTTCGGCGTTCCCTCCTTTCCTCGCGCTCCCGTTGATATTGTTGGAGCAGCGCCTCTATTCTTGCTAGGGAGTCATTCTCCCCCTCTTCATCGCTCACATCATCGTCATCCCCTTCGTAAGGGGTCTCAACCGGCTCGGTTTCCGGTTGGTAAGTCGAGTCCTCATAGGACCAGTAGGTTTCACTTTCTGTGTCGACATGACCGTCACTCACGGTCTGTGATCGGCCTCCACGGCCAGCTCCTCTAGATGCCCTAGAGGTCCTTCGACTGCCCTGTCCAGTCTCCTCTGGTACACGGCCGGTCGGGTTTCTCCTAGTAATCCTGCCACCACGGTCCATTTCTGAAAGAAATTGGGAAAGAGTCGTTAGACTCGTATCAAATGTCAATTGACGGATAGGTACTTAAGACACATTTTGGCTCGAGTCACTGCCATACCAATTGTTAAGGGTACCATCTTAACAATTAGAGACCTTGCAACCCAAGTACCAAAAGCTCTCCAAGTACAAAACTTCTATGCTCATGGTTTTCAAAATCTTTTCAAAAAGAGAATTTTGAGACTTCATTATGAAGTTTTATGGACTAAGGCTCTGATACCAACTTAATTGTCACGCCCCGGACCTCCCCGGACACGTCAACAACCCGCCGTACAATATGAATAGTCAACCGCAGTCCAACACGTTCATATTATACAAGGCGTCTAGAATATCACTCACACGCAAGCCATCCATAAACAACATAATAAGCAATCGAATACGTAGCGGAAAACATAGTTTGAAAACAAATGCCACACGTGGCTAACATGAGCACGCAGGCTCTATAGTAAAATATTCATGAGCATGTTCGTTAATGTTTAAAAACCGAATGGAGGAAGCACGAACCAAGTCTTCCCTCCTAGATGATCTCTCGAGCAACGAGCACAGGAAGCAAGCTCTAGCCTCAACCTGAAAAATGGTGGTGGGACGCCCCCGAAGGGGTCAGCACTCTATAGGGCTATAAAGTGCTGGTGTGGATGGCATCTAATAGATATACAACAAGTATTTCAAACACAAGACCCTCAAATAGGGTGATAATATAATCTAGGCCGTAATCCCAAGTTACCCCGTTTTTAAAATATACTTACTTTATATATAAAGTCAAGTAGTCGGCCCGTAGGCCCAAGGTTTGTTTATCAAACATAGCCCAAACCCCGTGACCCCTAGTCACAACAATATATAGGGTCCAACCCTAACACATATATTTGCATTCTCGAGTCCAACTCGACTACATCACCATGCACCTTATTTAACCCGAGTTAACTACTCCACCGTGCATTTCTTGAGTCCAACTCAACTACATCACCATGCACAATAATCACCCCATCATGTCTACCCAATGCAATTCTATGAGCGCGGCTCAAGTACATCTCCTTACATTGGCATAGACCCCAATTCCTAAGCATTCGCTATGCCTAGATTTGTAATATCAATAATCTATTTTGGGACATCCTTACGGACTGCCCATCCATGGTCTTAGCATCACATTACATCAATTTAGTCACTTGCATCACAATCAAGTTCATCAATTACAATCAAATCCTTAGATTCAATTCTTCAACAATTACAACAATCATTAACTAGTATTTCAATACTATTAAGATTATTCTTATCCATCATATATTCCATTTGTAAAACCCTACATATTTAGAGATATGTAGCAGCAACTTAATCATTCAATGTAATACATAAATAATCATTTATGTATCTACACAATTCACACATGAGTAAAATGTCTATTTCACACAATAGTTCATTTAACTCCATTTTCATCAATACTTTACCAAATCATTTCCCATTTCATTCTTTGGAAAATAGATCAATATTCCATCAATAATTTATCATCATAATCCATGGAAAACATTATTTAGGCATTTAGGTAATCTCATGCTTAACCTACAAGTTGTAAGCAACTAGATGTCGATCCTCACCTCAAATGAGCTTTAAAACTTTCCTCCTCGATCCAATGACTAAAGCCTCGGCCAAGGAAGCTTGAGAACTGATTCCTTGCTTAGAAAATGGGTGTTAAACAGCCTCCTCAAGTGCTAGTTCAACCCTTAATCGTTGGTACGAAAACAGCCCCTAGAATGGGTGTTTTCCGGTTAACTCGTTTCCTAGTTTTCCAAGATTTGCTCTAGATTAGTATCTAACCTTTACATCAATAAAATAACTTTATGGGGACATATTATGCACTTTTATTAGTGTACAATAGTTCCACCAATCGTTCATATCATTTGGAAAATGAATGGAAAGGTTTTGGGATTAACAACTCACTTAGAAGAGTAAATCCGTTCCTGCGAGGTCGCGTTCTGCTCGGACGATTTGGAAGCCTTCCTCTACTCCGATTGATGCAAACCAGACCTTCACGGATTCCTCGTCTTGAGAGCTTTCTTTTGGTATCTCACACGCCTTAATTGGATTGGTAAAACTCGAGATATCAACCAAACAGTCTCAGCACTCTCACATCTCGAGTTCACAGACCACTGCTCGTTCCAGATCGATTTTTGGATGATTACTCTCTCCTCTCGAACATAGACCACTCAATTATAAAAAAAGACTTCAAAAGCTATCCAAGGACACCTCATTCACCTTATTTGGCCGAGTATAACATCACTCATGAAGGGAGACAACCAGCACCACTCTTTTGTGCGAAAATTGACTAGGTGGGGTTCCCTCTTGTTTCCTTTGTCAAGTCCAGCCCCTAGAGTCAGCTATGGCAGTCTCCTAACCTTATTTGTCTTGTCTTGCAGGTGGAAAAGAAAGGATGGGGCGCAGCATGTGTTCCCCAATTATTTTTTGGGAGCAAAACATTAATCAATACATCCAAAAATGGAAGAATGGGTCATATTGTTTTATCTTTTGTCAAAGATGTCTTTTTGTACTCATCCTAACTTATTTAGAACAAGTCAACTTCCTACATAACATTATTGATCTCCAATATGTGTAGTCTCATCTCAATAATTTACTTGATGGATAATATAGAAGGAAAATCCTACTCCCATTATTTGGCTCAATAATGCCAAAGATGGGGTTATAGGCATTTGTACTTTTCTTTAATCATCCTATCACTTATTTTGACATTGTCATTCATATTATTGGGCTACAAGCCGTGTGGGTCGCCCCGAGTGGGCCTACGACGCCGTCCTCAAATATTTGCTATTTTAGCGGGTTGAGCCCAAAATAATATATGGGCTGCCCGCCCTTCCTCAACTTGTCTTGAAACGTTATGTATAACTATTTAGATAATGCTAGGATCTTTTATTTGTTAATAAGGCCCAAACGAGTATTCGCAAGCCCAACAATAATGTACGAGTTCGAGCGGTATAATAATCGATCATGAATTACGTAAAACATCAATCGTTTTACAATTGTTTGGGAATCAGAAATCCAATACATAAACTTTGAATTTTAAAAATCAAATTTTCAAGGACGTTCGGGTGCGGTGTCACAAGTTCACCCCCCCTTAACAGGAATTTCGTCCCCGAAATTCACAGCTCTACTCGAATAGGAAAGCATACTGTTTCCTCATCAAGGCCTCTGTTTCCCATGTCTCTTCTTCGACCCGGTCGCTCTTCCAAAGGACTTTAACCATCGGGACTTCTTTGCTCCTCAGTTTCTTCACCTTCCTATCGGTGACCTTGATTGGTTGCACAGCGTAGTTCAAATCCTCACGTACCTCCACAGGCGGCTTTTCTAATACGTGAGAGGGATCATGCACATACTTCTTAAGCATGGATACATGAAACACATTGTGTATCTTCTCTAACTCAGGAGTCAACTGTAGACGATATGCTACGGACCCAATCCTCTCTATAATTCTGAATGGACCTATATATCGTGGGTTAAGTTTTCCTTGGGTTTGAAATCGAATGATTCCCTTCCAAGGAGAAACTTTCAAGAATACCTCGTCATCAACCTTAAACTCTAAGGTTCTTCGACGCTTATCTGCATAACTCTTTTGTCTATCCTGAGCCGCTTTGAGTCTCTCTCGAATCAATTTCACCTTTGATTTGGTGACCTCAACTAACTCAGTACCCTCGAGTTTGGCCATGCCAACTTCGTCCCAGCATAACGGTGTACGACACCTCCTCCCATACAATGCCTCGTATGGAGGCATGCCGATGCTTGCCTGATAACTGTTGTTATAGGCGAACTCCACAAGTGCTAAGTGGTTGTCCCAACTTCCTTGGAACTCCAATGCACAAGCCCTCAGCATGTCTTCCAAGATCTGTATGACTCTTTCAGACTGCCCATCCGTCTGTGGGTGGAAAGCAGTACTGAACTTCAACCTCGTTCCCATAGACTCCTGAAATTTCGGCCAAAAACGTGATGTGAATCGTGGGTCTCTATCAGATACAATGGTCACTGGGACCCCATGCAGCCTCACGATCTCATCCGTATACAATTTGGCTAACCTCTCAAGTGGGTAGGTAGTGTTGATAGGCAAGAAGTGTGCACTCTTCGTGAGCCTATCCACAACAACCCAAACTGCATCATAGTTCCGAATTGTCCGTGGTAAACCTACCACGAAGTCCATTGTCACATGTTCCCACTTCCATTCAGGAATGGAAAGTGGTTGTAACAAGCCTGCTGGATGCTGATGTTCTGCCTTAACTTGTTGACAAGTAAGGCATCGACTGATGTACTCGGCTATCTCCCTCTTCATTCCAGACCACCAGTAACTTTCTTTCAAATCACGGTACATTTTCGTGCCCCCCGGGTGCATGGCATAAGCCGATGAATGAGCCTCCTCTAAGATGGACTTTCGGAGCTCATCATCTGACGGTACACACACTCGGTCACGAAATAACAAGAGACCATCATCTCTTTCCCTGAAATCCTCCACCGGTCCCGCTTGCATGCGTTCCCGGATCTTCATAATTTCTTCGTCAGCTTCCTGACCCTTCTTGATCTCATCAAGTAAGGTAGGCCTCACCTCAAATCGTGCCAATAAGGCACCATCGCTAGATACCTCCAGTTGGGCTCTTAATGCCCTCAAATTAGCTAGCAATGCCCCAGGCGAGCTCTTCCGGCTCAAGGCATCTGACACCACGTTTGCCTTGCCTGGGTGATACTCTATCACTAGATGGTAGTCTTTTATCAACTCCATCCACCGTCTCTGTCTCATGTTTAGCTCCTTCTGAGTAAACACGTATTTCAAGCTCTTGTGATCAGTGTATATGTGACATGTCTCCCCGTAGAGATAATGTCTCCATATCTTCAGTGCAAACACCACAGCTCCCAGCTCCAGGTCATGGGTAGGGTAATTTACCTCATGCTTCTTCAACTGTCGTGAAGCATAGGCAATTACTCTCCCCTCCTGCATCAACACACACCCAAACCCTTGGATGCTCGCATCGCTATAGACATCGTACCCCACACCCTGTTTGGGTAATGCAAGTACCGGTGCCTCGGTCAATCTTTTCTTTAGTTCCATGAACCCTTTCTCACATTTGTCATCCCATACAAACTTAGCTCCCTTACGAGTGAGCTTCGTCAATGGTGATGCCAAAACAGAGAACTTTTCCACGAACTTTCTGTAATAGCCTGCCAATCCAAGGAAACTACGAATTTCCTTGACATTCTTTGGTCTCTCCCATTCGGTAATGGCTTCTATCTTCTTGTTATCAACAGCAATTCCCGATCCTGAAACCACGTGCCCGAGAAAGCCAATTTTCTTTAGCCAAAATTCACATTTAGAAAATTTGGCATAAAGTTGCTTCTCCCGTAGTGTCTCAAGAACAAGTATCAAATGCTCCTCGTGCTCTTCTTCACTCTTCGAGTAAATCAAGATATCATCTATGAACACAATCACGAACCGATCCAAGTATTTATGGAATACTCGGTTCATCAAGTCCATGAATGCCGCTGGGGCGTTTGTTAACCCAAACGACATAACAAGGAACTCAAAATGCCCATACCTTGTGCGGAAAGCACTCTTTGGTATGTCGTCTTCCTTAATCTTCAATTGATGGTAACCCGACCTCAAGTCAATCTTCGAAAACACGGTTGCTCCTCGTAGTTGATCAAACAAGTCATCAATCCTAGGCAAGGGATACCTATTCTTGATTGTGACCTTGTTCAGTTGACGATAGTCAATGCACATTCGAAGTGTCCCATCTTTCTTCTTCACAAAAAGAACTGGTGCTCCCCACGGGGAGTGGCTTGGTCTAATGAAACCATTATCCAAAAGCTCTTGCAATTGGGTTTTCAACTCGTTAAGTTCAGCGGGTGCCATACGGTATGGCGGTATGGAGATTGGTTTGGTGCCGGGCTCGATCTCGATCACAAATTCAATCTCTCTATCGGGTGGAAGTCCCGGTAAATCTTTTGTAAAGACATCCGGATACTTACAAACCACCCTCACATCGTCGATGTTCGTTTCTTCTTTGGTTTTGTCAACCACGTATGCTAGATATGCGTGGCATCCCTTTCTCATCATACTTCTCGCTCTCACGGCGGATATGATACAGCTATTTGATCTCCCTCGATCGCCCTCGAAGCGTAGGGTCTCCCCATCATTGCCTTCGAGTTCAAGAACCTTCGTGTAGCAATCTACCCTAGCATGGTTCCTTTCTAGCCAATCCATCCCTAGGATTGCATCGAATTCAATCATGCTCAGCGATACGAAGTCACACGTCAAGGTTTGACCATTAACCTCCACCCCACAAGATGGATAGTAACAAGTTCTTTCCACGTCGTCCCCTAGTGGTGTTGATACCACTAAGGTTTGCATCAATGGTGCGGATTGCACTCCCAATCTCTTGGCGAACGCTTCATTCACAAATGAACGTTGCGCCCCGGTATCGATAAGGATTCGCGCATCCTTCCCATTAATCTTTAGTGTTCCTACATTCATGAACCGTGTAAGACATCTTTCCTACCCTCCCTACTCATTTATAGAAGGTTACAATGTTCACACGCACGTTAGGGATCAAGAAAAGGTCTTAACGTCGCAAAACGGTGCGAAAAATCGCACTTCGGCAATCTGGGTGCCAGGCACGGCGTGCCTGGGGTAGGCACGATCGTGCCTGGCTCAGGAAAAAGCCCTGGGGGCTACTGCCTTGGAGGCACGATCGTGCCTGGTTTGGGGAAACACCTGGGGAGCTACTGCCTTGTAGGCACGATCGTGTCTGCCTTAGGCACGATCGTGCCTGGGCTGGGGAAATTCCTGGGCAGCTACTGACTTGGAGGCACGATCGTGTCTGCCTTAGGCACGATCGTGCCTGGGTTCCAGCCGCCTGAAGTTGCCCGAAATCCCCCGGTTTGACCCCAAAACCTTGTGCAATGATCCTAGCGATTAGTAACCTCAATTTATGGACTAATTAAGGATAAAACACTAGCATACGAGAGGCAATACCTGCAACGGAATCCGGGTTAGCTTGAGCATCCGCCTCCGTCATCGCGTAGACCCTAGCTTGAGTCCTTCCTTGATTCACGGACGGCGCATTGCTTGCGCTTGCTCCCCCTTGCCCCCTGGACGCTTGTGAAGTCCCGGCTTGATTCCGTGTCCCGGTATTACCACTACTTGGTCCCGATGACCTTGCCCCACCCAATTGTGGGCAATTCATCTTCAAGTGCCCGGTGTTTCCGCATTGATAGCATCTAGGAGGGTCACGACATTTCCCCAGGTGGTTCCTCTTGCAATTCTTGCAACGAGTCCCCCCCGAGGCTTGTGATTGCCTGCCCGGGCCTTGACTTCCCCTAGATGGCAGTGGGG